GGTAACCATTGTTTGGTGTCCAGCACATATAGGTATCTATGGTAACGAACAGGCGGACATGGCGGCCAAAGCAGGCCTAAAATTCAGCAGTGTAACAGAACCTATACCACTCTCCCCCACTGAAATATATTCCATAATACGCCAACATATTTTATCTAAGTGGCAAAAAGAAATAAATGATAATCTTCCCAAAATTAAACATGTAAATACTACAGTCAGCCTTAAACGACCAATAAAATATTCAAACAATACCAAAATTGATAAAATCATTAGCCGGCTAAGACTGGGCTCAAGCCTATTACCTGGTAGTGTGGGTCAATACATTAAGAAAATTGACCCGACCTGCCCACAATGTGGAGTGAGATATGGTTCTGACCACCTACTGATCGAATGTCCCCAATTTGCAGCCCAGCGGCAAGAATTGGTGGGTCGCATTGGATCAGTGGGGCTTGGATTTACTGCAAAAAATATTTTAAATCCCCCAAAACAACATCATAATCATGTATATGGGGCTCTAGAGATATTTATCCTAGAGTGTAAATTAACAGATAAAATTTAATAAATCAACTTGAAATGTGCCCGTGTCCCCCTCAGGTAACACAATTATTCAATCAAAATATATATAACCATAATTAAATAACTTAGATATATTACCATATTATTTATAACCATAATTATATGGTAATATAACTTCACAATAACAGGTTAATAGGGACCCAGTTTGCATACTCTAGTCCCTTGACACCGGTTCAGTAACAAATTTAAATATACCCAAAATAAAATATGATAGAGTAGATAACTCATCCCAAATCATCTTTAATCATTAATAGATACATCCACATAACTAACAGAAAAATTCCCAAACAAATTGACTAATAAATGAAAATATAACAGCATTCTACCTGTAATAGGTTATTAGTACAAATTTAACACCACAGTACTAAAATAAAGAAAATTTTACATGAATCTTAACCTTCTATGATCTGAAATCTAAGTTATTAATCAAAACTAAACCATAGTATTTATTAAGAGACATATTTTATTGAATAAAATAAGAAAACCCCATAAGAATTTATTAAAAACTAAAAAAGATATAGTAATTTTCCTATGATGGGTAACTTTTCCAAAATCAAACCCAATTATTCCAAAATTTGATAATTTTACACAAATATAACTCCCCAAGAATTAAGAAATAGTAAGATAACTATCATAAACTCTATTTTTTAATTAAGAGATACATATAATGGACTAAAAGAAGAAAACCCCAACAAAATCCATTGAGAAATAAAATATTTATAGCCATTTTCCTATGATATATAATTCCATAATAATCTACAATAATTCCTATATATTGGCTAATAACAGTCCAAGGGAGAGAACTTTAATTGATTATTTGATACTATATTTTTTACTTTATTGACAGTTCAATAGACAAAATTAACCTAAACACGTTAAAATGTTCAAATTTTTATTAATATATTAACTTCTAAGGGTGTTTCGGAATAAAGTCATCAAAAAATTAGTTAATATACGCTGTTTAAATAAATCTTCAGCCAATTTTGTAAAAATTAACTAAATAACAGGAGTTATCTACTCTCCCCATGGTAATAAACAACAAACAGACTTTTAACCTTTACCTTATCCTGATTAATAATAGAAATGACTATTTATGGTAAGACAGGGGTTCAGAGACAGCCTATGCTGCCCTTCAGGCCCATTCCATCAGGGGGAGGATGGCAGAAGACTGTCTCGGGCACCCCGGCGGCGCCCTGTTACATCAGGGAGGGGGGATACTAGTGTCCTACGTTGCCGGGGAGGAGCTCTGGTTGACTCCAGGTTCCCCTGTCAACCAAATATTAAATATATCTATTTACTGAACAATAAGTCCCAACTCTTTTTAATAGGTTTTTGATAATTAACAGTTTTGTTGCGGGTTGACCTGAGCGTGTGGACTGGCCGTACCTCGGGAAAATACCCAATACAAGCTGTTTTCAAAGCAATGTCCAACAGAAATTAATTTTTTTTTATTTAAATCTAAATCATACACTTAAAATTCTCAACCCAAACCAAATCAAACAATATTATATACAAAATGACTTTAATTGTGTTACCAATATATCTATAAGGATAAGTGGCAATCATTTTTAATGTATTTTACTATTTATATCTTAAAAAATCAAATTTTAAATGTTAACAAAGTCAAAATGCTCTACTCAGAGTACAGCACAAATTGTAAACAATACTTTGTTTATGCCACATTCCTGAGGGGGTCATAGGTCAAAGTCTTGAGCTTGAAGTCAGAATCGGATAGTAAATGGACCAATGGCCGCATAGGAGACAAGTGCTCTCAACCAATGAGAGAGCACGTATCAAATCCCATGTTCGGCATGAAATAACGATAAAGTAGATTTTTGACTAAATGGTTAATATTTAATTTAAAAACTGACGTTATTTCAGTTTATAGTGATACAAGATCTATAACTATAGACTATTTTGCCTTTAAATGTATAATTTACTACATATACAGCATTTTGTATCACTTTTTCAAATTTAGATTTTCTATCTTTCCGACACCCAAAGAAGAAAATGACATATCAGATCTGATTGTATAGATCAGATATAATGTTTTGGAATATTTTATCATTTAATAAATATAACGTACATTGTAGAAAACAATTTTCAAGCTATTTCAATATCAGAATAAAAATTTATCGAATGTACAAATTGACGTATCCAATAGGTTAATTCACCTCATTTTCTATCCAACACGAAAAGAAGAAAATGGGGTATCAGATCTAATAATATGAATAAGATCTGACAAAACCAAACACTTTTTCGTTAAATAATAATGCTGGACATTGTAGAAAAATGGTTTCTTTAATAAATATGTCCCCATCAATAAAATTATGGGCTCATAAAATAAGGTATTCGCGAAGGAAATTTTTCATATTTTCTTCTATGGTATTTTCCAACAACCAATGAAATTGAAGTATTCTCAAATTAACAGAAATTAACAGAAATACAACAATATGATTGGTCACAACTATCGTGTACAGTAAAAGGTTTATTCTCTTCTATTTTCGTAAATTTAAAATACTTTTCGTCTCGTTTAACATCATTATATGTGGTGGTTGGTCCATCTATCCGATTCTGATAAAGGTTTGAGTGATTTATTAGTGCGTGGTCCGCGAGCTCACATTTTCTCCAGCAAAAAGATGAATGTATTAAGATATAATCAATGCCGTAAAATGAAACTTTACAAGATAAATACAAGGTAGTCTAACTAGACAAAACTTTTGATGTATTAGGTTAAGACGCGAACATATTAACATTACGCGAGAGGTAGTTGCCTAAGTTATATACTACAGTATAGGATACTGTATGTAAGTTTCGACCATATATTTTTACGTTTTAAATTTTTGAGTCAGTGCACAGCCATTGTATAAAGTGTACATAACCTATTTTAAGTGTTTATTTTTAAAAGTGGCCCTAATAAGTGGCCGTGAAACGGTGCTACTACGAAGTTTATTTATTTATTTATTTTGTAATTTTATTGCTATGTAATTTTAATTGAACAATTTCTTAAATAGGCTGTGCACTAGACTATTTTTACCATACAGTCTCATGGTTATTATCAAAATTGGGAGGTGTTGGCTACAGTTTACCCATAATGTCAAAAAAGACTCCATATTGTATATATCCCTTTGCCCCCCGCCCCGTGTTATTTATTATCTATCTTTTTTATTCCTGTATATATAAACTAGTATCCTTAATACTAGTAAACGTGAACCCGTGCCCCCATATGGAGCAATACGTTTATCACGGGTTCACTCAAGCATGAGATTTTCTTAAATATGTTACATAAAGACTATCTCATCACATTATGGGTAACCAAGTTATTATTATTAGCCATATTTGGGACTTAGATTTTTTCTTATTCTTCTATGAATTGTTTAAGTAATAGAAGATTAATTATTATGTGTGATATCTAGATGCATAATAATTTATAGACCATGAGACAGTGATAAATAGATAAGGCCGTTTCCACCACATTTTAACTATCATATTTGTTTTAATTTTGAAATAAAGTTGGTAAAAACACGTATACATTGGATGCAACGGGCACCTGCTAAATCTCTATCACGTTCGCGCGACAAACTTGTCGATATAGGTCAATCCGAAAATTAAGAAAATTTGCAAATTATCACAAAACCGGATTGACCTCCTTATTTTGTAAACAGAGAATTTTCGGCCAATGAGAACAAAGGAGGCAATCCTCTCTAAACCAATTAAAATTAACTTTATAAAGCGGGTGTTCGGTAGAACTTACAAAAATTACAAAATTTAAAACAAACTCTGCTAATTACAAACATGTAATTAATTATATGCATCCCAATGTATACGGTTTATAACATTTAAATAGAAACCAACAGTCAGCCCACAATGAATTGGTCAGAAAACGTTCCTGACATGCCTTCTTCGCAAGTCTGCGAACTCTACAATATAGGTAATATTTTAAAATTTTTTAGTTATACTAAATATTAGATAGACCTGCTATAAAAGACGGTAACTGCTATAAACGTCTTGGCCAATTTTAAAATAAGTGCTTTTTAATAAATTAAATTTTTAGAATTCTTAATCTTAGTATGGGATTGCCCCATCTTCCTCCCATGGCAGAGGTTGTACGTAGAGACTACCCTGTCATGGGGGATATGGTATGCACATAAACACATGTACGGATATAACAATAAGTAATTAAACATCAGCTCCCCCTTTTTAAAAGGTTATAAATGAAGTATATGCTCGCCCATATGGTCTCCGGAGGCGAGGGTAAACAAACCCAAACACACACACACACACACAAGAAAACCCTCTGGCAAATAGGTGATCAATAAAACAATAACCCTCTGGCAGCGAAAGGGTTAAACAAGTTTGGTACCAAACAAAATTAACTGTCCTTTTAACAAGTGTGAACATGAATATTGTTCATATATTTACAGCCATGTCCTGATGTGTTTTGGTTCCCGGTTATGACAGAAGTGTTTTGTGATGAGATAGTAGCAGAGTTAGAAAATGTCAACATTTGGTCGGGTGGCAAGAGCGAGGTATGTTTTGAGCCGCGTCACAACAAAACCAACATAATGGGTTTGCGACCAGCATGGATCCAGACCAGCCTGCACATCCGCGCAGTCTGATCAGGATCCATGCTGTTTGCTTACAGACCCTTTAACAAGTAGAGAAACTGATAGCGAATAGCATGGATCCTGATCAGATTGCGCATAAAACGCAGGCTGGTCTGGATCCATGCTGGTTGCAAACCCATTACGTTGGTTTTGTCGTGACACGGCTCATTTGTATTCAGTTTTATCTTTTATTTTAAAGATCATTAATTTCACCATTATTTATTTGCTATGGTAATCAGTAAAGGTGATCTCATAACTTATGAAAATATAAAACTGTTTAATAATAAACTGTAATACATGTAAAATAAATGACTGGATTTTGTTAATAGACATTTGATTAATGAGCTAGTGATTTTAAAACTTCAAATTTGGCTGTATGTTTTAATTGACATTTGTAATAAATAACAAACATTAAGTTAACTGATAGCTGTAAAAAGCTTGAGTTTATTTTTTGCTTTATCAAATTAAAGATTATCCTGCTGTAACCAAAATTGTTGAGACCAGGCTCTATACTGTTCATAGCTTAATTTTCATATTTTAATATTAAAATCCTTTAAATTTCATTGACTTTGAAACCTGGCAAAATCATTCCACAAGTTTGGCAGATTATTGATTGATTTCGTGATAATTGGTCAATAATTGGTTAAAAATTGGTTGATACATTTGTAATTGGTTAATAATTGGTTGTTAATTGGTTAATAATTGGTTAATAATTGGTTAATTGGTTAATAATTGGTTGATAATTGGTTAATAATTGGTTAATAATTGGTTGATAATTGGTTGATAATTGTTTTATTTGTAAAATAAAGTATTGATTAAGTAGAGTATTATTTTAGGACACTAGGTTAGCCGGTGGTTACGAGAATGTACCTACTGACGATGTTCATATGACACAGATTAACCTACAGAATCAATGGCTGGAATTCTTACGTGTTTATGTAGCTCCCCTAGCAACCAAAGTTTATCCTGGATACTATAGTAATGTAGGAATACTGAAAGTTGTTAATGCATGTTAGAATTGATGCTTGACTATGCTAGCTCTTGCATCCCCTCCCCATACTTACCCTCATTAACAAAACTATCTTCTTCGTCTCTAGGATGTATTCCAGCATGTCAGATTAGGAGCCTGAATTTCTACTTGCCTTTTTATTGCTGTCTTAAAAATGTCATAAATTGAGTTGCCAACTTGTAGAAACTTATATAAAACAAGTCTACCAAAAAGTTCATTTATTATCAGAATTTTATGACATGACATAAAAAAAAGGAAAAGGGGAAATCTTTTGAAAGCAGTGTAATTAAAATTGGAGAGGTAACTAGCACAAACTTTGTTTTTTTTTCTATATTTGAGGGATACTTAATCTCTCATGCTCTCCAGTGTGAGCTTATGTGGCATTAAATTGTACAATCTGATTTAAGTAATGGAACCAATGATCTTGACTGGAAAATGTGTCACAGCATCAGAAAGTTTTAAACACATGGCAAAATTGCCATTTGAATTACATGCTCTATTGAATACAAACTATGTCATGTGGTAAATATATTGTTTGTTTCAAAATGAATGAAAAGATTGTCATTTATTATGTAGGTTCACATGTATGATGACAATGTTTTCTCAACCTTCATGTATAATTGCATGATTCTACTATTTTTTCTGTAACTGTAACATATGTGGTGTTACAACCAGTCATTGTAACAGATGCAGTGTTACAGCCAGTAACTGTAACAGATGTGGTGTTACAGCAAGTAACTGTAACATATGTGGTGTAACAGTCAGTAAGTGTAACAGATGTGGTGTTACAGCAAGTAACTGTAACAGATGTGGTGTTACAGCAAGTAACTGAAACAGATGTGGTGTTACAGTCAGTAACTGTAACAGGTGAGGTGTTACAGCCAGTAACTGTAACAGTTGTGGTGTTACAGCCAGTTACTGTAACAGATTTGGTGTTACAGCCATTCACTGTGACAGATGTTGTGTTTCAGCCAGTCACTGTAACAGATGTGGTGTTACAGCCAGTTACAGTAACAGATGTGGTGTTACAGCCAGTCACTGTAACAGATGACATGGTGTTACAGCCAGTTACTGTAACAGATGTGGTGTTACAGCCAGTAACTGTAACAGATGTGGTGTTACAGCAAGTAACTGTAACAGATGTGGTGTTACAGTCAGTAACTGTAACAGATATGGTGTTACAGTCATTATCAGAATAACAAGACAAATAATTTATTGTGATGACCACCCTGAACCTTCAGCTACAATTTTCTTGCATGTTTTATGTCAATCATTCTGTCGCCTTATAGTTGTTATGTATGTCTGTTAACTTAAAACTCTTATTACTGACTGTACATTAATATGTGAATACTGAAACGAGCAATAATTGACCGGATTACAAGATTACCTTTAATGTTTAAGAGGTCAAAGATTATCACTGTTAACATATTGAAGTTCAAGGTTACATTATCTCACCTTGTGCATTTAAACTCGGGTTCTTGAGGTCACATTGATGTTATACCATTACATTGGCTATACACAAGGTGAATATTTCCTATATTTTTTAGCAAAAATTATGTCAATACACAAGTTTACAGCTGGTAAAGGTCAAGGTCATGTCCTATATAAACCTCTTGGTTTCTACATATTCTGCTGAAGTCAGATGGTTTTAGAGACTTTAAATCATTCAAAGATTCCTTTATAAAATCTACTGTAAACTTGTTTCAGTTTCACTCAATGAAATAACTTTTCAAGTGTCTTGTACTGTTTCAGTTGTATCGAAGACAAGGAACCTGAAAAGGCTTTTGGTTGGCTATTATATTAATATATATCAATGGCATATATTCTAGGATTATGATACAGATAGTAACAGCATGTACAAGCATGTTTGATTATTTCTAGGACGCAAGATTAAGCAGTGGGTACGAGAATGTTCCCACCGATGACATACATATGACACAGATTGATCTGCAAGATGATTGGCTTGAATTCTTGAGAAAATATGTATCTCCTCTACAGCTAAAAGTTTACCCAGGCTTTTATTCAGATGTGAGTGATCACGTCATGTGACATAGAGTTTATATTTTGTATATCTTTGACTGATAATGATGAGGGTCATTTTATAGGGTTAACGCACGTTTTTCCGTGTTATAACGTCTGCAGAGTCCCGAGGAACGGTTGGTTGCCCGAGCCTGGTAGGTCGAGGGCTCCAACAGTTCTGAGAGACTCTGCAGACTTTATAACACAAAATAAACATTCGTTGACGCTATTATAGCATAAAATTTTAAAACAAATTCGTGATGTATAGTTAATACAAAACACAATTACATTAATTTCTTGTGCTTGGACGGTATTTATCCAATTCTACATGTTTTATGTATGCGTTTTATTATTCCGGGGCCAACAACTTGGAAAATTCTCAGAACCGAACAAAATTTCGAATTTTAATTGATTTAACAAATTGATTTTTTTTTCAAAGCAAACAAGTTTATAAAAAAAAAATAGGCACTAAGCATTATTCTCTCAAAGAAATATAAAGAGCATTTATCAACATTAACATTAATAAAACAACATTTTCTCATATTCATTTTGTGTAATCTAGTTTTGTAAGTTAATCGGAGTGTTAAACTGAATGACAGGTACTGTATTTGTTTACATTGACAACTGTCCGTTTCTTAGAAAGGGCAACAACCAAGATTAGCAGCGATGTCTATATGCGGTATTTCTGGCATAGTTACTTGAATGCTGCACGTCGTTATGCGATTGGGGCCCTCGAATCAATAATTTCAATATAACAAGAGCGCATGACTCTTTGGCAAACAGGCCAAATCGTCAAATTTTTGTTTGTTTACTGGGCCCTGTATGTATTGCGCATAGGTGAAACTGGGCTATAACAAGAGCACGTGATTATGTTAACGCATGGTTTTGGTCCCGTTATAACATGGGCAAAATAGGGGAAAATAGCCGATTTTATGCTATAATAATGAATTTATCGCAAAATAACGAGAATACTGTTGCCATATCATCTGTACAAATGGCATTGGTATTTTTTTGTTAACATTCATGTTTAAATTATCATCTTTTACAAAACTATTTTGTTCAGAACTGTTCTCCATTTTTGATATTTACATGTTGCTCCCTTTTCTTAAAAAAAGAAATTTTTGATTTTTGCTAAGTGATTTTCTTTGTCCAAAATTATCAAGAAAAATTAATTAATTTTTTAAACCAAAAAGAGAAAAACAAATAAAATAAAAAAATATAAGTTAAACTCCAAACTGAATAAATGAAAATATTTTTAATTATAAAAATAAAGAAGATAATTGAAGATAAGGTTTTCTAATTCAGTGATACAAATTTGATATCCTGCCTTCTACACGAGCATGTAGTGAAGCTTTTGTTTGTTCTACTGAATGCTGGAATGCCTCTTCTATGACTAACAGTCTTTTGCTTTGATAATATTTTGTTTCTTTAACTAAAATAGAGTGTTTGAGCAAGTAAATATGAGACGCGCCATGACAAAACCAATGTAATGTGTTTGCGACAAGCATGCATCCAGACCAGCCTGCACATCCGTGCAGTCTGATCAGGATCCATGCTGTTCCCTTACTAAACCTATTACAAGTAGAGAAACTGATAGCGAACAGCATCAGACTTTGCGGATGCGCAGGCTGGTCTGGATCCTTGCTGGTCGCAAACGCACCATGTTGGTTTTGTCGTGACGCTTATCATATAAGTATAAAAATTTGATTATATAAATGTTTGTGTGATAAAGCAGATGAATTTGAATTCAATATTTGGATCGCAGTAAGTTGTTATAAATTTCTTACCTTAACAGAAAGCTTTATTCACATTCACTATTGCATATATAAGTTACAATTACTATCAGTTTCAAATTACATCTTAATGTAAGGAAATATGCTAAAGTACATGTAAGTATGTAAGTAACGTCTTTATTTAATGAGGCTTACACATTCAGTTTTCTGATCATTCATGTGGGCCTCAGTATAAACATGATGTATAATAATTATATATTATATACATAATTTTGTCAACATGATATTTGAAATAAATAAATAGAATTGTAAAGCTATTACAGTATATGTACATAAGAGTTTCTTATAAAATAGCTCTTACATGAAATTATATATATATATATCTCTTACTATACATGTATTATTTATCTTTTAACAGCCTCCTCGAGCTATATTAAACTTTGTAGTGAAGTATAACCCAGAGCGTCAGAAAGAGCTGCGGCCCCATCATGATTCATCTACGTTCACCATCAATATTGCCCTCAATACTCCAAAACTAGACTACGAGGTAATTATAGTATTCATCTACATTCACCATCAATATTGCCCTCAATACTTCAAAACTAGACTACGAGGTAATTATAGTATTCATCTACATTCAGCATCAATATTGCCCTCAATACTTCAAAACTAGACTACGAGGTATTTATTGTATTCATCTACATTCACCATCAATATTACCGTCAATACTTCAAAACTAGACTACGAGGTATTTATAGTATTCATCTACGTTCTCCATCAATATTGCCCTCAATACACCAAAACTAGACTACGAGGTAATTATAGTATTCATCTACATTCACCATCAATATTGCCCTCAATACTTCAAAACTAGACTACGAGGTAATTATAGTATTCATCTACATTCACCATCAATATTGCCCTCAATACTTCAAAACTAGACTACGAGGTATTTATAGTATTCATCTACATTCACCATCAATATTGCCGTCAATACTTTAAAACTAGACTACGAGGTAATTATAGTATTCATCTACGTTCTCCATCAATATTGCCCTCAATACTCCAAAACTAGACTACGATGTAATTATAGTATTCATCTACATTCACCATCAATATTGCCCTCAATACTCCAAAACTAGACTACGAGGTATTTATAGTGACTACGAGGTGATTATAGTATTCATCTACATTCACCATCAATATTGCCCTCAATACTCCAAAACTAGACTACAAGGTAATTATAGTATTCATCTACATTCACCATCAATATTGCCCTCAATACTTCAAAACTAGACTACGAGGTATTTATAGTATTCATCTACATTCACCATCAATATTGCCGTCAATACTTTAAAACTAGGACTACGAGGTAATTATAGTATTCATCTACGTTTCTCCATCAATATTGCCCTCAATACACCAAAACTAGACTACGAGGTAATTATAGTATTCATCTACATTCACCATCAATATTGCCCTCAATACTCCAAAACTAGACTACGAGGTAATTATAGTATTCATCTACATTCACCATCAATATTGCCCTCAATACTTCAAAACTAGACTACGAGGTATTTATAGTATTCATCTACATTCACCATCAATATTGCCGTCAATACTTTAAAACTAGACTACGAGGTAATTATAGTATTCATCTACGTTCTCCATCAATATTGCCCTCAATACTCCAAAACTAGACTACGAGGTAATTATAGTATTCATCTACATTCACCATCAATATTGCCCTCAATACTCCAAAACTAGACTACGAGGTAATTATAGTATTCATCTACATTCACCATCAATATTGCCGTCAATACTCCAAACTAAACTACGGGGTAATTATAGTATTCATCTACATTCACCATCAATATTGCCGTCAATACTTTAAAACTAGACTACGAGGTAATTATAGTATTCATCTACGTTCTCCATCAATATTGCCCTCAATACACCAAAACTAGACTACGAGGTAATTATAGTATTCATCTACATTCACAATCAATATTGCCCTCAATACTCCAAAACTAGACTACGATGTAATTATAGTATTCATCTACATTCACCATCAATATTGCCCTCAATACTCCAAAACTAGACTACGAGGTATTTATAGTGACTACGAGGTGATTATAGTATTCATCTACATTCACCATCAATATTGCCCTCAATACTCCAAAACTAGACTACGAGGTAATTATAGTATTCATCTACGTTCACAATCAATATTGCCCTCAATACTCCAAAACTAGACTACGAGGTAATTATAGTATTCATCTACATTCACCATCAATATTGCCCTCAATACTTCAAAACTAGACTACGATGAATTATAGTATTCATCTACATTCACCATCAATATTGCCCTCAATACTCCAAAACTAGACTACGAGGTAATTATAGTATTCATCTACATTCACCATCAATATTGCCGTCAATACTCCAAAACTTAACTACGGGGTAATTATAGTATTCATCTACCTTCACCATCAATATTGCCCTCAATACTCCAAAACTAGACTACGAGGTAATTATAGTATTCATCTACATTCACCATCAATATTGCTGTCAATACTTCAAAACTAGACTACCAGGTAATTATAGTATTCATCTACGTTCTCCATCAATATTGCCCTCAATACACCAAAACTAGACTACGAGGTAATTATAGTATTCATCTACATTCACCATCAATATTGCCCTCAATACTCCAAAACTAGACTACGATGTAATTATAGTATTCATCTACATTCACCATCAATATTGCCCTCAATACTCCAAAACTAGACTACGAGGTATTTATAGTGACTACGAGGTGATTATAGTATTCATCTACATTCACCATCAATATTGCCCTCAATACTCCAAAACTAGACTACGAGGTAATTATAGTATTCATCTACGTTCACAATCAATATTGCCCTCAATACTCCAAAACTAGACTACGAGGTAATTATAGTATTCATCTACATTCACCATCAATATTGCCCTCAATACTTCAAAACTAGACTACGATGTAATTATAGTATTCATCTACATTCACCATCAATATTGCCCTCAATACTCCAAAACTAGACTACGAGGTAATTATAGTATTCATCTACATTCACCATCAATATTGCTGTCAATACTCCAAAACTAGACTACCAGGTAATTATAGTATTCATCTACATTCACCATCAATATTGCCCTCAATACTCCAAAACTAGACTACGAGGTAATTATAGTATTCATCTACATTCACCATCAATATTGCCCTCAATACTCCAAAACTAGACTACGAGGTATTTATAGTGACTACGAGGTAATTATAGTATTCATCTACATTCACCATCAATATTGCCCTCAATACTCCAAAACTAGACTACGAGGTATTTATAGTGACTACGAGGTAATTATAGTATTCATCTACATTCACCATCAATATTGCCCTCAATACACCAAAACTAGACTACGAGGTAATAATAGTATTCATCTACATTCACCATCAATATTGCCCTCAATACTCCAAAACAAGACTACGAGGTAATTATAGTATTCATCTACATTCACCATCAATATTGCCCTCAATACTCCAAAACTAGACTACGAGGTATTTATAGTGACTATGAGGTAATTATAGTAGTCCTCTTACTAAGTCATTTGTTATTTTATATTCAATTGTTTTGTAACATTGAGTTACATTGTCTGTTTTAAAAAAAAGTCCAGCTATAATGGTCACTGCTGCATTAATGTTGTTATTGTTATTGTTGTTGTCATGCAAAAACTTGAATGTAGGGGGGTTTGAAGGGTGCGGAGTCCCCCTCATCGCCAAGAAAATTCAGGACTTGTGAGAGGCTATAAATGACCCCAGATTGATCATAAGGTAACGCGTAAGCAACGCTGAGAAGCATTTGACTCTTTCTCAATCCATTGAGAAGTTGCAGCACTTTGAAATCAATTTTGATGGAAAAAATCAACCCAAAATAGTGATATTTGGCAATTTTGAGATATCCCCTTGTTGCCATGGTAACAGAAAATTTAAGCCTGAGCATGTTGTTGCAAGGGCAATGGTCCAGTCAACATTTGTGCCAAGTTTGATTAGTGTTGAAGCAGTTTTTATAGTATTATAGCAATTTGAACTTGTAACTGGAAACTTTTCAATGAAAACAGCCATTTTTCACAAAATGCTCATGAAGTAATGGGTTAAGGTATTACCATCCTAATGCATTACCTCCGCTTTGTAGAGTATTCAAATAGGCTAGAATTACTGTTAACTTCATTGAAAATGAGGTCCGTGGGATCAATACCCAGAAGGGTCAACTTTTTTTTTTTCTTTTTTTCTTTTAACATTATTTATGTATCTCTCATATCCCATTTGGAAAGAAAAAAGTGTTTGATTTTGATTTTTAGTTTATATAGTTATTGGCTACATTATGCTAAATCTAGTAATAAATATGGTACCTGATATGTTCAAAGTGTAATAAAATCAAAACTAGACGATAAAAGTATTTCATATTTTACTAGATCAACCAATATACTTGTATATATAAAATTTAGGGAAACTTTGAAAACAGGCACTCATTTGGGTAAATTTTAAAGATTTTTTAAATTAGGCTCCCTAAGTAGGAAAATGGTCAGACACATGGTAAAATGGGTGGGTTAGGTTAACATTTTTATACAGATTTCATAAATTTTAAGAAGAAACCATAATTTTGCTTATGTGGATTGTTAGCTGAATTTGTTTCTTGCCAAAAATTAATGGGAAAACATTTTTCATTAGAATGTTATTGCAGATTATTTAAAGTTTCCTCATTTCTAAAAAAAGGGCCCGCATAACATCCTAGCTTGAGTTCAGAAAAGTGGCCATAACTTGATTTCCGTACGGTTAACTTTGTTTAAATTTTGCATACAGGTGTACTTTAAGGTATATATATGACCTATGATGTCAATTTTTTAGTTCCTTATAGTGCCCATTAGGGTCGTAATATCTTAAGATATAAATTGTTATCCAGCTGGCTTACAAAATGTCTGTGGTTCATCAAATTGATAACTGATTGTATATTTATTCTCCACTCTATTATTCTTAAGGTACTAAATTCTGGGAAAAAGTTATATTGCGCTTATATAGATTACTAACAATACTTTGATAAAATAGATATTTTTATATGAAAAACTTGTTGCTGCAAATCTCAGCTCTAAATTCCTTCGAGCTATCAGATCAATGTATATTATAGTAAAATCATGTGTATGGTTTAAAAATACATATTCTGATTTCGTCAATTGTGATATTGGTCTCAAGCAGGTTGACCCAAGCTCGCCTCTGCTGTTCATGCTCTTTGTTAGTGATATAATACAAAGCATAAACACTGACATACATGATATATTTTGTCTAAATGAACTAAAATTATTTCTCATTCTATATGCAGATGATCAGGTGTTGTTTGTAATGTCCCCTGAAAGTTTACAGTCTTTATTTATTGTTATACTTGGGGTTTGAAAGTAAAGACGTCAAAAACCAAGGTCATGATCTTTGAGAAGGGAAGGACCACTAATTTTTCTTTTTATATTAATGACACGCAACTTGAAATATTAGACTCTTTTTAGTACTTAGGAATGACCCTTTTCAAAAATGCTGATTGGTCAAGAACACAAAAAATATATTGCTCAGCACACATCTTTTGCATTACTTTATGTGTTCGGTTTGTTTAATAATGCAGAATTTACTTTCCCAAAGAAATTACTTATTTGATGCATTGGTTGGTTCAGTCCTGATCTTTGAATTTGAGGTTTGGGGACACCATAAGGCAAGGGATATGGAAGATGTACTCACAAAATTTTTACGATGAATACTATGCATTAAACGATTTTAAAACCAACATATCCGCACTACATGGTGAAACTGGGCATTTTCCCCTTGAAATTACGAAAGATCACTATGTTAAAATACTGAATGAAAGTATTATTGCAAAACTCTCTGATTTTACAGACATTTCTATTGCTTAAACACGACACTGATTTAAATAGACATTACGCACGAAATAACTGGGTGTTCCAAATCAAGACTATACTAGATAGCCATGGTTTTAGCTATATTTGGGACCACCAATTTGAAATCAACATTCCTTTTGATGAAATTAAGAAAAGAATTTATGATTCATACATGCAAACATGGCATGGGAAAATTAATAATTCAAATTGACTTCATTCGTACACAATATTTAAACATTAATTTAATCTTGAGAAATACTAATATTGTCTGTGAAAATAAATACCGATTACCAGAAAATATAACAATATTCAAAGAGAAGATAGATTGTGTAGGTTATATAATATGAATCAAATGAAATAGCATTTTCTTCCAGTTTGTCCTTTTTATCGTGATTTAACCCTTTCCCCCATGAGCATATTGTGAAAAATGGCCGTTTTCACTGAAAAGCCTCCTGTTACAAGTTCAAACTGCTATGGAACTATGAAAAATGCTTCAATACTAATCAAACTTGGCATAAATGTTAACTGGACCATTGCCTTTGTAAAGACATGCTCAGTCTTAAATTTCCTGTTACCATGGCAACGAGGGGACATCTCAAAATTGCCAAAAATCACTATTTTCCTCGATTTTTTCCATCAAAATTTATTTCAAAGTGCTGCAACGGCTCAAGGGATTGAGATAGAGTCAAAGGCTTTTCAGCGTTGGTTAAACGTTACATTATGATCGACCTGGGGTCATTTTTAGCCTCTCACAAGTCCAAAATATTCTTGGCGATGAGGGGGACTCCGCCCCCCTTCAAACCCCCCTAACCTTCTGGCAACCCCCTGATGTATCTTTTGGATGGGGGGCGGCGCCAAAAAAGTGTTCAATTTTTTTAGCAACATTTCTCAAACGAAAACTTATGTTTGGGGCCAAAATAGGACATTTTTTCACTATTTGAGGCCTAAAAAAAGGGGGGGGGGTCGAAAGTGCGTTGTTTCGCGTATGTGGTAAAGGGTTAAGGAAAAATTATTTTCAGCCTTACTTCTGTAACTGGCCATATATCAAGAAATTTAAGGTTGTATTTTGATCACTTTCGGATACAACTATTTATAATGTAGCTAAATTTATATACTCTGCGAGTTTAAGTCGCAACAAATAAACAGTTCATACAGAGTGTTCAATCTTTAATTAGCTTAACTCCCAATTATTTCTGTTTTTTGTTTTCTTTTATAAGTATTAATACTGTTAAGGGGGTGTCCGTGGCTGAGTGGTTAAGGTTGTTGACATCAAACCACTTGCCCCTCACTGCTGTGGGTTGGAATCCAGACAGGGACTTTGGATTCTTTCATGTGAGAAAGCTATCCAGCTAGCTCACGGAGCACCGGTTGTTCTACTCAGATGCCTATTTGTGCCTGAAATAATGCACAGATGGGCACCTGATGTGTTCCTCCACCAGTAAAGCTGGAACGACGCCAATTGACCTATACTGTGTTGGTGTGACGTAAAATCCAAACAAGCAAATTAATACTGTTTAACATACATGCACACGAGAATCACATTTTATGCACGGGAGGTATAAATAGAAACCTTGTGTATATTATTCAATTCATACTTAAATGATCAAACTTTCTTCTTGTATTAAAAGTTAATTATAACCAATTAAGTATTTATCATTATTGACAATCATGTACTCTTTTGTAAACTATGCAGGGATTTGTTTTGGCTTATTTTATAGCCGTTATAGGGTCATATTCCCAATTGAAAATAGTATATTATTTGGAAAAAATTCCCAATTGAAAGTTACAAAATAAAAATATTGAATTAAAAATTCTATAACCATTGTAAATTAGGGCGTCTTCACTGTGATAGTGCTTAATTGTTTGAAGTTAACATCAAAGACACTAATTGTTAGCATCCATTTAATCACTGTAAAATTTCAGTCATGCATTTTTTCCCCCAATTTTTAACAAAACACTGCTGAATTTCCCAATGCCATGGGTATGGGTCATGTTACCAAAATCCCTTTTGTGTTCTCTTTGTATATGTATACAATCATTGTAAATATAAACTACTTTTGTGTTGTATATCTCATTTGTGTAAACTTTATTATTTTTATATTATACAGGGTGGTGGCTGTAGATTTCTGCGGTATAACTGCAGCGTAACAGAGTCACGTAAAGGATGGATGATAATGCACCCTGGGAGACTGACTCACTATCATGAAGGACTGCCTACAACCAAAGGAACAAGATATATATTTGTGTCATTTGTTGACCCATAAGTGCTCACTGCTACTCGTTTTTCTCACAATTTTTTTTTTTTCAAATTTTGTGTATTTTTATATTGTGACATGTTAAACATGACATGAAAGTTTAAGGTATGAAACAGCTGATAAAGTTTATGTGATTCATTTTTTGTATATATTTTTTCTAAATCTGTACTTTTTTTGATAAAAGTTGATTTTACATTCAAGCCAATTTCAGTTGTATTTTTTTTTATTGATGAAGACATTGTAGTGTTCAAGGTACATTGTAATTTTTTTTTTTGGTATGTAATCATACAATAAATTTCTTCTTTTTCACAGACTCTGCAAGTGTTACCATTTTGAAGGAAAATTGTGTTGAATGAAACATTTTATATTTGTGCAGGACTGGGTTTGATATATTTGTGTTTTCTGTTTTCAAAATTGGTCAAGACAAAATCAAGCAGGTCTAGTTTTAGGATTTTGCTACTATTGGGTTGGGTTTCTTTGTACATGAATTGTATTAATTCACAAGATTAGTTAAACTTGTTCCTGTTTGTACTAACTATAACTGTTCCAGTTTTACCCATACCTTGGTGCCGGCAACTGATTTTACTCGTACCTTGGTGCCAGCACTTTTTACCCACACCTTAGTGCCGGTAAGCTTTACCCATACCTTAGTGCCGGCAAGTTTTACTCATACCTAGGTGCAGGCAAGTTTTACTCATACCTAGGTGCCAGAAAGTTTTACCCATACCTAGGTGCAGGCAAGTTTTACCCATACCTAGGTGCCAGAAAGTTTTACCCATACCTAGGTGCAGGCAAGTTTTACCCATACCTTGGTGCCGGCAAGTTTTACTCATACCAGGTGCAGGCAAGTTTTACCCATACCTAGGTGCAGGCAAGTTTTACCCATACCTTGGTGCTGGCAAGCTTTACCCATACCTTGGTGCCAGAAGCAGAGTGAAAAAAAAACGACAAGTGTATTTAACATTAGAATATAATATTAGGGTTAAATTTGTTTACAGTTAAACATTGTATCAAAGCCATTCCCTAGAGAGCTGCATAAATATAAGTCTTTGTTTATAGGTTTCAAAGGGCTTTGCAAGTTGTTTTTTTAATCAGAAATAAGTAATAAATCTTCATTGATAGTACTTATTGTTGTTAACTTTACTGTTGAGCCTGTATATACATGTACAGCTCCCTATCAACGTGATAGAGTCATAGTGTATATACAGCTCCCTATCAACCTGATAGAGTCATAGTGTATATACAGCTCCCTATCAACCTGATAGAGTCATAGTGTATATACAGCTCCCTATCAACCTGATAGAGTCATAGTGTATATACAGCTCCCTATCAACGTGATAGAGTCATAGTGTATATACAGCTCCCTATCAACGTGATATAGTCATAGTGTATATACAGCTCCCTATCAACCTGATAGAGTCATAGTGTATATACAGCTCCCTATCAACGTGATAGAGTCATAGTGTATATACAGCTCCCTATCAACCTGATAGAGTCATAGTGTATATACAGCTCCCTATCAACGTGATAGAGTCATAGTGTATATACAGCTCCCTATCAACGTGATAGAGTCATAGTGTATATACAGCTCCCTATCAACGTGATAGAGTCATAGTGTATATACAGCTCCCTATCAACCTGATAGAGTCATAGTGTATATACAGCTCCCTATCAACGTGATAGAGTCATAGTGTATATACAGCTCCCTATCAACGTGATAGAGTCATAGTGTATATACAGCTCCCTATCAACGTGATAGAGTCATAGTGTATATACAGCTCCCTATCAATGTGATAGAGTCATAGTGTATATACAGCTCCCTATCAACGTGATAGAGTCATAGTGTATATACAGCTCCCTATCAACGTGATAGAGTCATAGTGTATATACAGCTCCCTATCAACGTGATAGAGTCATAGTGTATATACAGCTCCCTATCAACCTGATAGAGTCATAGTGCCATTTTAACCCCATGTAACAATGGGTATGTATATTATGCTATATTTTCTAGTCAAGTTTTATATTTTACAATTTAAGCTTACAGTTTATCATCCGGTATTTGTGCTGCATCACGACAAAACCAAAGTAATGCGTTTGCGACCAGCATGTATCCAGACCACCTTGCTGTTCGCTTACAAACTCTATTACAAGTGGAGCAACTGACAGCGAGCAGCATGGATCCTGATCAGACTGCACAGATGTGCAGGCTGGTCTAGATCCATGCTGGTCGCAAACGCACTATGTTGGTTTTGTCGTGATGCAGCTCAAGTGATGTTTTATTATGAAGCTGGAATCTCTTATGTTTTTATATTTGAATGCAAGTTTCAAAGTTCCTGGAATGTTTAAAACAAACAACTTTCTAATTGAATAGACCAGAAACAATCTTATAAGTTCATCTGGGTAAGAGCCATAAAAAGAACTTGGCAAAAATGTAATTTTGTGCCACATATAGAAAAACTTTCCAAAGAAATATTTCATGTAGAAATATATGCCCACAGTATTAGTCTATGTATTTTCTTGTTAGGCTTTTTTTATCAGAACAATGACAAAGGTCTGTTTGAGTATTCAACATATTCTCGAACCAAAAGAAGTTTTAATTATATAATAGCTCCAAGATACACTGTTAGCAAGTGGCTGAGCACTAAGATGTAAAATATGCCAATGGCTGAGCTCTAAGTTTTAAAGTTAAACAAAGTTCTAAGATGTATAGTTAATGCTGGCAGAGCACTAAGAGTTAAAGTTAGCCAATGGCTGAACTCTAAAATGTACAGTTACCACTGGCTGAGCTCTAAGATTTAAAGTTAGCCAATGGCTGAGCTCTATTGTTATACTGATGTTCAATGCATTTAACATAAACTTTAACCATATCAGGAATATTGTCTATCAATTTCTTTGAATTTTTCTGATATAATATATATTTGTGTCATTTTTTATTTAATCAACATCAGCTTTGTTATTGCTTTTTTGTATTTTATTTTCTATATAGTATTCAATTTTAAATTTGTATGCCATGTCTTATTATGTTAATCAAATAAACTGGCTTTTTTATATAAAAATGTACTTGTAGTATGTTATGTTTAAGTGAAGCATGATTTTACCTTTTTTGTAACATTCTTGCAATAAACTAGCAGCGCATACATTCATGACTTTTATAGAGCTCTGTACTTTTATGATATAATTATTAATTTAGCTTACTGATATGTGAATGTTAGGGGGTCCATGGCCGAGCAGTTAAGGTTGAAGATATGTGAATGTTAGGGGGTCCATGGCCGAGCAGTTAAGGTTGTTGATATGTGAATGTTAGGGGATCAATGGCTGAGCAGTTAAGGTTGAAGATATGTGAATGTTAGGGGATCCATGGCTGAGCAGTTAAGGTTGAAGATATGTGAATGTTAGGGGGTCCATGGCGAGCAGTTAAGGTTGTTGATATGTGAATGTTAGGGGGTCATGGCGAGCAGTTAAGGTTGTAGATATGTGAATGTTAGGGGGTCCATGGCCGAGCAGTTAAGGTTGTTGATATGTGAATGTTAGGGGGTCCATGGCTTGAGCAGTTAAGGTTGTAGATATGTGAATGTTAGGGGGTCCATGGCGAGCAGTTAAGGTTGTTGATATGTGAATGTTAGGGGGTCCATGCCGAGCAGTTAAGGTTGTAGATATGTGAATGTTAGGGGGTCCATGGCCGAGCAGTTAAGGTTGTTGATATGTGCAATGTTAGGGGTCCATGGCCGAGCAGTTAAAGGTTGTAGATATGTGAATGTTAGGGGGTCCATGGCCGAGCAGTTAAGGTTGTTGATATGTGAATGTTAGGGGTCCATGGCCAAGCAGTTAAGGTTGTAGATATGTGAATGTTAGGGGGTCCATGGCCAAGCAGTTAAGGTTGTAGATATGTGAATGTTAGGGGGTCCATGGCCGAGCAGTTAAGGTTGTAGATATGTGAATGTTAGGGGGTCCATGGCTGAGCAGTTAAGGTTGTAGATATGTGAATGTTAGGGGGTCCATGGCCGAGCAGTTAAGGTTGTTGATATGTGAATGTTAGGGGGTCCATGGCCGAGCAGTTAAGGTTGTTGATATGTGAATGTTAGGGGGTCCATGGCAGAGCACTTAAAGTTGTTCAAACCACGTCCCCTTCACTGGTGTGGGTTCAATTCCTGAGAGGGACGTTGGATTCTTTCATGTATGGAAACTATCCAGCTAGCTTGTGGAACATTGATGGTTCTACCCAGGTGCCCATTCTTGCCTACGCTAATAAAGCTGGAAAGTCACCATATGACCTTTACTGTATTGGTGCAATGTAAAATCCAACAAACAAATAATGTAGATGTGACTGGCTGTTTTGTGATGGTAGATGTCATATATATTTTAATGTTCAGTTTAAATACTTACAGTTATAATAAATGGTGCTATTTTGTATGTTTTTATATTGTAAACATGTAGGATATTTTCATAAATTTTCATAATTATCAATTTTGACAACACAACATTATTTTTGTGCCAAATTAAATGACAACCCAAAGTTTTTGTAGATTAGAGGACAATAAGAGTTGTTTGTGACAAATATTGGACTATATATTGAATTAGGGGGCCTATTTTGCAAATACAGACTAAATGTTGAATTTTTCTGCCTATTTGGTAAATATAAGACTATATGTTGAATATTTGAGCCTACTTGGTAGATATAGACCATTGTATATAGCGGACTATATGTTGAATTTAATTGGCTTTAGTGGCAATTATAGGGGGGGGGGGTCATAATATGTTGTTTTTTGGGGATCTCCATGGCAGATATACAGGACCATTTGGGAAATCTTTCATTGCTTATTAGTTAAGCATCTCATTGAATTGCCAATAAAAATCCATGACTGACAACTTCAAAAGTAGGACAGACATAGATTTGTAAGGAAAACATAATATGTAAGCCATACATGTTAATATTGGTTAGTTTTTGGAATAGTATTATAGTGTTACACATTAGTTACCTATTACCCCAGTATTGGTTCAAATCCTGTCAGGGACTTTGGATTATTTTATGTGAGGAAACTATCCAGCTAGCTAACTGAATGTTGATGGTTCTACTTGTGCACTACTTTTCGATGGGGAAATGCACAGAGGCACATGTACCGATGCACTTCCTCTAACAGTAAAGATAGAACTTTATTTCATGCTTTCCAGTGTTTTATTGTAATATATCAGATGATTATATTCTGATAAACCACTAGTGAAATTTATAAAATAAAATTTTCACTGTAGCCGGACTATATCTTAATGTGGATGAAAAGAAAATCATAACTAAATGGAATAACAGGCAGAAATAAATGCCGTTATACGTAAATGTTGCTTCTTTAGGAAAAGAAAGTCGATGTCACCATATATCATGTTAAAAATGTAACAAAATAACAGAAATTTAACAGAACTATATTTCAAAATTGATGATGTGACGTCATGATGTGATGACGTCACAAAGGAGAATGCGCGACGTTACGCGGCAAAATCAGTAAAAAAATACTTAAAATCACTTAAAAAGCATGAAATAAAAAGAAAATTAATTTGTTTTACATATAAGATTGAAATATATTTCATTCGTGAACACCAGCTATTATATTTTCATTCGTGGCTACGCCACTCGTGAAAATATTGCATCTGGTGTTCACTCAGTGAAATTATATTTCAATCTTACATGCAAAACAAACAAATATCCTCTATGTCACAATTATTATGTTTATAAACTGCACCTACATGTAGTTTATCTCAAAGTATATACCGTTTTCATTGATGGATGTATATCTGATACTGAATAAACTAAAGCATGTTTTTTGTCAAGCAACTATTGTAACATATAAGAAAATATGTCCGTCCATTTTGTTGTTGTTGTATTTAATGTTTTGTTGAATCTCTGTCCATGTGTAGACAATGTATTTGGTTATATAATGTATAAAGTTTGCCAAACTGTGTAGATCTAGGAGATATTAGACATGTTAGTACAATATTTTATTTCATTTATAGTTATCAAATTTCATAAAATAGTTTAAAATAGAAACTATACAATCATATACAGTATTTCTTCAGCATATCAGATAGAAAGTGTGTAGAAAACATACCGTCTGTTTGTTATCTTGTCTACAGGTCACTGGCTTTGTCTCCTGGACTTCATTTTAACAACCTTCATCGATACTGAAGCTTAAATTACAAAATTGTACTGTAGCTTATTGAGCATATTATTTGTGTTATTCCATCCAGACATTAAGTTTTACACCTACAGCTTCTTTACTGTTTAGTTGAAGGTCTTTTTTTTTAAAGTGTATGTAATGTTTGAAACATGTTATGTTTTTAAGATAACTGTGTAATATTTTTAATAGTGTTTTGTTAGGTATGCTGGTGTGATGTTCTCTATCATTTTGTCAAATGTTTAAGTTATATAACTTTCTGAGTTTAAATATTTGTACATGCAATAGTAAGACTACACCAACATAATATGACTAACCTGTAACAGAGTGATGGCCTAGTGGTTAAGGTGTTTGCCTCGGTGTTTGTCTCTCAACCAATGGATCATGAGTGCGAACCTAATTGGGTTACAACCATGTTTCTTCATATGACACCAGTACTGCTTGGTTCAAGAAAGCAAACTCGAAAGTGATTTATATAAGTTGCAAGATTTTGTTTCTCAATAGAGCTTAAATAAATATGTTTCAACCTAAACTAACACTTACTATGTTTAAACCAAAAAATGCTCAGCCTTTACAGTATAGAGCTAGCCTAGTCTTTATTACGGATATAGAGCTAGCCTAGCCTTTACTACAAGTATAGAGCTAGCCTAGCCTTTACTACCAGTATAGAGCTAGTCTAGCCTTTATTACCAGTATAGAGCTAGCCTAGCCTTTACCACCAGTATAGAGCTAGCCTAGCCTTTACTACCAGTATAGAAGCTAGTCTAGCCTTTATTACCAGTATAGAGCTAAGCCTAGCCTTTACCATCAGTATAGAGCTAGCCTAGCCTTTACTACCAGTATAGAGCTAGCCTAGCCTTTACTACCAGTATAGAGCTAGCCTAGCCTTTACCATCAGTATAGAGCTAGCCTAGCCTTTATTACCAGTATAGAGCTAGCCAAGCCTTTACTACCTGTATAGAGCTAGCTTAGCCTTTACTACCAGTATAGAACTAGCCTAGCCTTTATTACCAGTATAGAACTAGCCTAGCCTTTATTACCAGTATAGAACTAGCCTAGCCTTTATTACCAGTATAGAACTAGCCTAGCCTTTATTACCAGTATAGAGCTAGCCTAGCCTTTACTACCAGTATAGAGCTAGCCTAGCCTTTACTACCAGTATAGAGCTAGCCTAGCCTTTTCTACCAGTATAGAGCTAGCCTAGCCTTTACTACCAGTATAGAGCTAGCCTAGCCTTTACTACCAGTATAGAATTAGCCTAGCCTTTACCACCAGTATAGAAGCTAGCCTAGCCTCTACTACCAGTATACAGCTAGCCTAGCCTTTATTACCAGTATACAGCTAGCCTAGCCTCTACTACCAGTATACAGCTAGCCTAGCCTTTATTACCAGTATACAGCTAGCCTAGCCTCTTCTACCAGTATACAGCTAGCCTAGCCTTTACTACCAGTATACAGCTAGCCTAGCCTTTATTACCAGTATACAGCTAGCCTAGCCTTTATTACCGGTATAGAGCTAGCTTAGCCTTCATATCTATGCAGTCTGCAGTTTGGTGATGTTTGCTATCCTTTATATACAGCTATCAATGATAAAAATCTAGCTTTAAATATATATTATTTTAAATTACACTATTTCTAAGTGGGAATTAAATGTGAAAAAAAGTAATAAATATATACATTTGTATATGTTATGTATTTGATTTTAGAAATATTGCAATCATATGATTACAGAATATTTAGAAATTAAGGTACATGTACTTAAAAGTATTAGAAATCCATTCAGCAAAGAAATCCATGTATAGTTTTATGTCATTTACAACAAAGACAATTAGATTTGAGCCGTGTCACGACAAAACCAACATAATGCGCAGTCTGATCAGGATCCATGCTGTTCACTTACCAACCCTATTACAAGTAGAGAAACTGATAGCAAACAGCATGGCTCCTGATCAGACTGCACGGATGTGCAGACTGGTCTGGATCCATGCTGGTCGCAAATGCACTATGTTGGTTTTGTCATGATGCGGCTCATTTGTCTTTTTATTCAGTTTATATCATTTTACAGCAGGTCATAATTATCTGGTGAATATTGTAAATAATTACCTGTAGTATAATTCAGCAGTATATGTTTGTTATGCATGCTTGTGTTGCCATCTTGGAATGATATAATTAGAATAAATAAAATCAATCATGTACTTGTTGTTACTATGTTCCTGTGTCAACAATGTTCCTGTGTCAACATTGTTCCTGTGTCAACAATGTTCTTGTATTCTAATGTGTCGTATAACGGAGAAAGAACTCACGGATGTTACATACTTTTAATATACAAATACAAATACACAAGTGTACGAGTGGAATACCAAAGCCGAACTCCTAACTGGACATTTGAGAATAGTATATATAATGACAATTTTGTCATAAGGACATTTTATAATGTATATAAATACACGCGTTTTAGAGTTACATATATTAATCATTTTGGCATAAGCTCAGTCCGCATGCATCCTGTACCATAATATTCATAAATCAAAGTCATGTTCCATAGTGCACATTATGAAATAAAAACCTTAATATATGTACATGTATATACATGTTGACTTGTCATTCTTTTTGAATATAGCATGTATGACTAATTAGCCTGTGCAACCAGCTATACGACAAATATCCTCCTTTTCTTACATAAAAAAATATTTAAAAAAAAGTATTAAACAAAGTATTAAATATCAAATATTTCAAACTATTTCTAACAAATTAAAAAACAATCTAAAATCAACTTGACATCTGTTTTACCCCTAAGGTAAGGATGTTATACATCAACCTTTTTACTTTATTTTAAAAGAAAAATTACCTAAGGTAATATCCGGTCAAAGATGTTATCTAATGACTTTTTGTTACTTTATTTTAAAAGAAAAACGCCTTAGGAAACAATATTCGGAAATATTCGCTCAATATATTTTCTTGTCACTTTTTAAAAAGTTTTCGGATACTGCAGTCGGGTAAGTTATAATTTACTTCAACAATTTTGTAATGTTTTTAATAAGTAAAAAAAATAATTATTGTTAAATGTAAAGATAATCTTTTCGAAATTTTTTTTATCAGTTAATATAACTGTTATTCTACAAATAATATTAAAGTAACATAAGGTAAATATTATAGCTTTATAAGTTTTTCAATAAATATTAAATTTCCTTTATTTCATCATAAAAAAAGAAAAAAAAAGTTAATTTTTAGAGATCAAGAAAACATAAAAAACAAACAAATAAGTGAATAATTTCAAAGAACAAATTATTTTAAGAATATTAATTAGAAAAACTTTAAGGTATAAAATTTAACAGAATTATATGTAGGTCTGGGAATGCTAAAAGTGGAATACGTGTTAACATTTTCTTTAATTGTTCAAAACTTTCTTGACATTCTTTTGTCCATTTAAACAAAACACGTTTTCTTGTAAGATTGATTAGAGGTTCAACAATTTTAGAATATTTAGGGCAAAATCTTCTATAAAAACCAGCAGCACCAAGTAAAGATCTGACATCTTTAACACATTTTGGTACCGGAAGTGACCTAATAGCTTTTACTTTTTCTGGGTCTTGTTTTATACCTTCATGATCAATTATAAAACCAAGGTACTTTGTTTGTTGCTGAATAAAACTGCACTTTTTCAGTTTAAGTTTTAATTTATGCTCTTTAAGCTTTGAAAATACTGTCTGTATATGTGATAAATGTTCATTTAATGACTTCGAAAATATTAGAATGTCGTCAAGATAACTGACAGCAAATGCCTCTAAACCTTGTAAGACATGTGACATGAGTTCTTGGAAAACTCCAGGGGCAGAAACTAGGCCAAAAGGGGTTCGGTTGAACTCGAACAAGCCTCGGAATGTCGTAAAAGCCGTTTTTTCCTTGTCTGATTCATGCACGGGTATCTGCCAAAACCCTGATCGCATGTCTAGTGTTGTAAAATATTTTGAAGACCCTAGTAGTGTTAAAATATCATCAATTAATGGGAGAGGATATGATGTTGGCTTTGTAATTTTATTCAATTGTCTAAAATCAACACAAAACCGTTTGGAACCGTCTCGTTTTCCGACCACAACAACAGGAAAAGAATAAGGGCTATGACTTCTTCTTATAATATTAGCATCTAACATCTCATCGATTGCGTCACTAACAAATTTTCTATTGTTTAAAGGTGTGCGATATGGGCGTAATTTGATTGGAGGATGATTACCTGTTGGTATTTTCATGGTTACAGTATCTGTTTGTGATAATTCAGAATCTTTATTGGCGAAAATATTTCTATTTTTCCTTAATAAATCTCTAACAATATTAAAATGCTCTGAAGGTGTATGAATATCACGTTCGAAATCGTTGTTAAGAGGGGAAGTTGTTTGAAGAGCCTCTGTGACCGAGTTAATGCTCTCAACTTCTGAAACTTTAGCAACTACTGAATCTCGTTTCAATCTTATAGTTTTATGTGTATTATTGACAATCATAATAGGAAATCTTCTATCAGCCGAAAGTTTCATAACAGAATTTGTTATCATAAGACCTGGTTCAGAAGCAATCATTCCAGTTTCTATACTTTTTAATTCATATAATTTATCATTTTCCAAGCCTGGATTTTGTTTTAACTTAGCAGTGCACACATTAACTGTTTGAGGTTTCAGAATAACATCCTGTTTTAATCTAACAATTGATGCAATATGAATATCTTCTTCGAGGGGTACATATGTATTATTAACTCTTAAGCAGCCTAAATCAAAATATAATCTAACGCCATTTTGTGTTAACCAATCACGGCCTAAAATAATATTTCTATTCATTTTAGAAACAACATAGAATTTTTGAGTTGTTTCTGTTTTCCCTATTTGAAAATTTAGATTTATATAACCATCTATATGTAAATAATTTCCGTCAACTGAACATAAATTTATTTTCTGTTTTATAAGTTGAGGGGGATTCTTCAATTCAGCACCTGAATCTACTAACGATCTGTATTTTTAGTTTTCTATTTTAATCAAACACGAATTAGGGCTTCCAGCTAATGCTATACTAAATTTTGGTATTTTATCGTTCCTGTCAATGACCCCTTTGTGACAGGAACTTGCTAGTTTTCCTGAAAATTTATTTTGTTTCTGTCGTAAAAATTTTGTTTACGACATTCACGCATAATATGACCAAAATTATTACATTTCCAGCACTTAATCTTTGATTTCAAACTATTATTGCTATTATTTTTCCTAAATCGTGAAAAATTTTGTCGGTGAAATACAGAATATATTTCATTTTTCCTAAATCTACAACTACGCACATGGTGACCTGGTCTCTTACAGTACACGCAAAAATTTCTTGTATAATAATGATTAAAATTATTTGCTTTGTAATTCATGTATTTTGCGTGATTTTGAGAATTAGAAAATTTTACTCTGGCAGAAAATCTAGCTCTGAAATTCTGTTCATTCATTGCGCAAGTAATTGCTTCTTGTAAAGTTTTTGGCTTTTCTCTCATAAGTTTAAGTTTTAAATAATTATGCGCTAAATTATCCGTAAACAATTCTACTAACTGAAGTTCAATTAAACTATTATCTCCTAGTTTATAATTTTCATAAGCGGTTTCAGCACAATTAATAAATTTTTCCCCAAAAATTTGAACACTTTCTCCCAAATCTTGTTTTAAATTTCTCAAAAGATAAAATTCATGATGTAAATCTTTAATTTCCCCAAATCTAGTACTTATTTCTTCTTTTAATTGTTCCCACGAATTACGATGATTATCACGCAAATATCTACATATAAAATCGCTTACAGTCCCTTTACTTGATTGAAATGCGACTAATTTTATTTTATTATCATCCAAACCTTTTAAAACAGCATATTTTTCTATAGATTTTATCCAGTCATTAAAATATTTAGAATTTCCATCAAAATTTTGTACTATTTCTGATAAACCCTGTGTACCTATGACAGTTGAAATATTGTCTAATTTATCCGACAAATTTTCAAAAATTGTAGCTATTTCTTGATCTGACATCTTCAAAATTAGCAAATTACAGGTATATAAACGATCACTCACCTTTAATTTTCTGTTTCAGGTACTTCGTTGTGTCCCGCTGTCCAAAATCGTCGCTTCGACATCGCTGGTCTTAGGCGCCAAATCAACCGTTGTCGTATAACGGAGAAAGAACTCACGGATGTTACATACTTTTAATATACAAATACAAACACACAAGTGTACGAGTGGAATACCAAAGCCGAACTCCTAACTGGACATTTGAGAATAGTATATATAATGACAACCTGTCATAAGGACATTTTATAATGTATATAAATACACGCGTTTTAGAGTTACATATATTAATCATTTTGACATAAGTTCAGTCCGCATGTATCCTGTACCATAATATTCATAAATCAAAGTCATGTTCCATAGTGCACATTATGAAATAAAAACCTTAATATATGTATATACATGTTGACTTGTTATTCTTTTTGAATATAGCATGTATGACTAATTAGCCTGTGCAACCAGCTATACGACAAATGCTCTAGTGTTCTGTTTCTTTATTATGCCCCACTTCAAAGAAGAGGGGGTAAATTGCTTTGCACTTGTCGGTCCGTTGGTCCGTCGGTCCGTAAACCAAATGGTTTCCGAGTGATAACTAAAGAACCCTTAGGCCTAGGAACTTCAAACTGGGTATGGTGATTGGTCATGACCAGCAAATGACCCCTATTGATTTTGGGGTCAAGGGGTCAAAGGTCAAGGTCACATTGACCTTGTAAGTAAAAACGGTTTCCAATCAATAACTAAAGAACACTTAGGCCTAGGAACTTCAAACTTGGTATGGTGATTGGTCATGACCAGCAGATGACCCCTATTGATTTTGGGGTCAAAGGTCAAGGTCACATTGACCTTGTAGGTAAAAACGGTTTCCGATCAATAACTAAAGAATGCTTAGGCCTAGGAACTTCAAACTTGGTATGGTGATTGGTCATGACCAGTAGATGACCCCTATTGATTTTGGAGTCAAGGGGTCAAAGGTCAAGGTCACATTGACCTTGTAAGTAAAAACGGTTTCCAATCAATAACTAAAGAACGCTTAGGCTTAGGAACTTCAAACTTGGTATGGTGATTGGTCATGACCAGCAGATGACCCCTATTGATTTTGGGGTCAAAGGTCAAGGTCACATTGACTTTGTAGGTAAAAACGGTTTCCGATCAATAACTAAAGAACGCTTAGGCCTAGGAACTTCAAACTTGGTATGGTGATTGGTCATGACCAGCAGATGACCCCTATTGATTTTAGGGTCAAGGGGTCAAAGGTCAACGTCACATTGACCTTGTAGGTAAAAATGGTTTCTGATCAATAACTAAACAACGCTTAGGCCTAGGAACTTCAAACTTGGTATGGTGATTGGTCATGACCAGCAGATGACCCCTTTTGACTTTAGGGTCAAGGGGTCAAAGGTCAACGTCACATTGACCTTGTAGGTAAAAATGGTTTCTGATCAATAACTAAACAACGCTTAGGCCTAGGAACTTCAAACTTGGTATGATGATTTGCCATGACCAGCAGATGACCCCTATTGATTTTGGGGTCAAGGGGTAAAAGGTCAAGGTCACATTAATCTTGTAGGTAAAAATGGTTTCTGATCAATAACTAAAGAACGCTTAAGCCTAGGAACTTCAAACATTATTTGTTTATTATATGATATTTATTATATTTATTTATGATATTATCCCTACTGGCACCTAGACCACACGTTAAATAACCACCATTAATGTTTACGTCAGCAAGCTGGTCCTGGGCAGAGTAACAGGTTGGTGTTGCAAAGCTTGACTCACATCTATCTGAATCCATTCTGTGCCGCTGACCTATCGGATGTATATACAATAGTAATGGATTTTAGGGGAAATTTCCCGTTCTCTCCCAAACGTTTTGTTCAGAGATGGAGATGTCCTTGGTATTGTTGTTATACTCTTCCAAAAAGTGCAAGATTGTGAAACTAGGACAGACTATGCATTCGCGTTTGTCTTTTAGAGTTACGTATCTATGTAATAGTTTATTAGTAAGGATGATTTAGTGTAGTATATATAAATGCTTACTTATGAACAATAACCAAGTTTGAAGTTATTTTTTATAAAACTGTAAATATGCTAGACTGATCAAATTTGGCCTATTTACGAATGTAAATGTTTTATTATTCATTTAAAATGCCGCAATTCTATTGGATAAAAATAATTTCAAATACTAATATCGTTAAATAAATCCAGATACAAAATATTTAACATATGATTATTCTATTATGATATGACATTGCTACAGTTTCTTATATCAGACACGTTCTTTCAATATTAAGACTTGATTGCCCTCACCACTGTGGGCCCGACAGGGACTTTGGAGCCTTTCTTGTGAGGAAGCTATCCAGCTAGCTTACGGAACGTCGGTGGTTCTACGCAGGTGCCCGTTCGTGCCTAAAACCCCTATCACACTAGGGCGGCGTTCTCACGGCGTTCAAAGAAAATTGAGAACGCCGAGGTGAGCGCAGTAAGATAGCAAACATCGCCACAGCATCATAGTGGCATCACATAGAACACCGACCGACGGTCATTCGGCGATCCTTCTGCGATTTCACGGCGCTGCTGTTCCGTTGTAGGAGATGCTACTGAGTTGCTACGGCATCCTTAATGCGATCCCACTGCTCTTATCAGAACGCCGAGTGACGGCGTTTGTTTTTAGCATGCTGAAAATGCACGCCGTCGGCCGGCGTTCTATGCAATGCCACTGCGATTCTACGGCGATGCTTGAGCGATGTTTGCGATCTTACTGCGCTCACCTCGGCTGTAGTGTTTGAATATGCACAGTGTAATACTAACTGTTTTAGTCTATTGAAGTATTATCAATATAGTAACAATTTTAGGCTAGTAAAGTCTGTTGAATACTCTCTTATTGTGAAGGTTTAGCGCCATATTAAATCAGTAAAAAGTAACAGCGACATTCTAGTTTTTCCTTAATAAAATATAAGAACCCAACACAACATCGGCGTTCTGAATTTTCTTTGGACGCCGTGTTAATGTTGCCGTAGTGTAACAGGGGTTTTAACCACGGCGCTTGTACGGAGATTGTGCGCGTCTCTACCGCGCTTATAATGCCTCTGCTTTTCACTTTCAGCGCAGTGTGAGTATCGTAAAAGCGCAGTGGAAGCGCCAAGAACACAGTAGAAGCGCATTTCGAACGCAAACAATCGCCAATTTAAACGCCGTGGAAGCTCTATAGCATCGCCATGATCGTTGGTAAGATGCCATCAAAAATATCACATTTTTTATTGCGATCTCGCGGCCCTATATATGCACGGAAGGACACCTGAAGTATTCTTCCACTAGACTGGTCCCCTGCGCACTTCTAAAAACTATGGGCATCCATCTTGGATGGGAACCATAATAGGAGAGGGAACCTGAGCTTGTCGTCACATGACCTATAATGTGTCGGTGTGGCGTAAAAACTAAGCAAACAAACAAAAGGCATGAATACAAATGTTTAGTTCAATCTAGCACTGGATTCAACAGTATTTCAGTGATCTACTTAACTGTCCCAAAGAAATCGTAAGTTAAAGTTAGTCTCTTTTTTCAAGACCAAATCTGCATCAGGCAACGTTACCCAATTAACTCTTTATTAACAGCAAAATGGGGCCAATGACATAAAACATTATTTGGAAGATAAAAAATTTCTCTAAGACTTATTGCCTTTACTTATCATTAAATATGTGGTCCGTAGTTCCCGGGGCTTTATCATAATTCATTAGAGATGTAGTCCGTAGATTTCGGGCTTTACCAACTCAATAAAACGCGCACTTCTGCGTTCCTAAGATACCAGACCTACTCCCGTACATCTCGGGTCTTAACTTCTCAAAAATTCGGCATAATTTGCCACTTCATTTGCATTTACTTGCTCATTGCAGCGCGTACTGGTCTGGTGACGCAATTTATTTTTAATTTATGTTAAGTGAGTGATAATATCGGATAAAAATATGTAAAAGCCTATGATATTTTATCATTGTTAGAAAAAGTAAAAGCTGGTATTTAAAATTTCATTCATAGTATCAGCTTTGAATTGACGATATCAATACCCTATATTTGTATGACTGAGAAAAATAAGATTCAACTTTTATTTGTTAAGTTGTTTTATTTTTCAACAAAAGAATATCATAATGTTAAAAAGAACAATTAGTCGGCGCTAGTCATAGATACACTTGAAGAAAGATCATAAACAAGACTGAGAATGAGATAATGTAAGGAAATGATACATTATATATATAAACGAACCACAATCTTACAAATATTAGAACTGAAAGACACTTTTAAAGAAACTTTATAAATACAAACATAGAATGATGTTAGACAAATATACATGTACAAATGTCTATTAAATTTCACAACAGCTACAACAACAACAACACATAGCAATATCATTTAAAGTCTACGTTACTATATTGTATTATTTTCCCATCCTCCCCCATCCCCATTTCCTGTCTGTAAGAATGATTGTTACATCTCTGTAAACGTAAAATAATCTGGATTTACATTTACTTCCGGGTTAATGGTGACATCCCTACTGCCACCTAGATCACACGTTAAATAACCACCATTAATGTTTACGTCAGCAAGCTGGTCCTGGGCAGAGTAACAGGTTGGTGTTGCAAAGCTTGACTCACATCTATCTGAATCCATTCTGTGCCGCTGACCTATCGGATGTATATACTCATTCACATAACGGCCACTTCTGTTGACCTTAAGTCTTGGGCCCCAATCTTTCTCCTCAAACGTTGCTTCTTTTATCTGGAAATAATCAATTTAAATGTAACATAGCAGAAATGTTCATCTATCAATAAGTTAGACAATACTAACATATGGACAAATAATCACGATATTCACCATTTTTTTTCATACGCGACATACATGTATAAGATACTGAAAATATCTCAGTAAATTTTATTATAACGACTTTCCTGGATTAAAAAATGTCATTTTAAACTTAAAGGGACTCCACAGTAGGTTTTTTTCCTGAAATGACGGGACTTGGAATACTTTTTTCGTGATCAATGTTCGCTCTGATTTAGGTCTAGACCAATCACTTCACTTCTAATCACTTCTAGACAATCGCGTTAATTGTGAAAAATGACCCAATATATGAAAAACAAAACAACCCTACTTACTCAAATCGGGCTAAGAACAGCATTACATACGTTTTAAAGTTAATTTCTGATTATATTTCTTAATTATCTTCTGATCTATGTAAAATATTCAAATTTTATGTTTTTAGCCTCTTGGGCCTCAGTGAAGTTCCTTTAATATGAAATAATACAAACCCCGCCATATTTCCGTATTTGGTATCCAGCGACGCCTAGCATAATCACTAAGGGCGTGAGTATCAATATCCATCCAAATGCCTCTCCCCCTGGCGTTGTTGTTATACCATTATAACTAACGGAAGTGTATCCTACCGCAGATGCGATAAAAATAAACTAAAAGAAGAAAGAATAAAAAGGTGAAATAGTCATATCTTTACATATATGATTTTAAATAAACAATCGTTTACTAAGTACAATTAATATTCAAAAAAAACGTTGTTTTATGTTGTTGTTGTTTTTTTTTCTTTCTCAATAGAACAAATGTTTAAAAAGGTATCAAATATATGTATCTGTGTACTGATTCAAATACACACATTGACAAGAAAGGAAAATAATAACTTAGTATTACCATGCCAAATGCAGGAGCAGTGACCCCCCAAGTTGCCATCCAGTACCATTTAAACAGCACCGACTTCCGGCCAATCATCATCTCAACGTCAGCGATAAAGCGTCGAAGTCCATAAACCCAACATACCGCTACACTTTCCATGATGAGAAACAGTGTTAAGGTAAAGTCTGCCGTATAACGATCCATAACAACTAATAAATGAATACCACCATCTGTAATGAGTGGAAGACCCAAAAGGTATGGTACCACACACATAGCAATTAAAATTATATTGCCCTTCTTCTTGAAAAGGTCTGGAAACACGTCTTCAATTGACACATAAACTGTCCAGACCATGATAAAAACCGAGTCAACACCCAGTGTTAACACCACCATGAAAAATAAGAACGCCCACATGGCAGATCCTGGTAGCTGTGAGATTCCTTGCAGGTAAGAGATAAATATTAGACCAGGCCCTTGATCAAAGATTGTATCTATTGGTCGGTTGAGCGTATACGACGCGTGGCCAAGGAATGCAAAAACGACAAAGCCACCGCATACACTGGTCAAAGTATTCACACACCCTGAAATGAATAAAACATCATTACTTTTATGTAATTAGTTCTATTTTACATAGAGGATATTTGGTTTGTTTGTGTGTAAGATGAAATTTTATTTCATCGAGTAGGCTTTAAAAACAGTATTCTCACTAGTGGCTACGCCACTCGTAAGAATACTGTTTTTAAAGTTCACGAGATGAAATAAAATTACATCTTACACAAAAAACAAACTTTCTTTTTATTTCATGCTTAAAAACAAGTTAAAACATTAACGTAAATATTAAAGTATGCTTTCCCCATTTAGAACCTCATTTAGTCGGAATTTCTCATTAAATACAAAAAGTCTTGGGCTGAAAATAAGTTCGATAATGCAACGTTAAATGACGGTGATATCATTAAAAAAAATAAGAATGTTCGCTTGTTCTAATAATAAAAACAAACCATTTTTGTAGGAGAAAAAGTCCAACCACCCATCCATATTTCTTTTACTTAATGCGAATTTATATTAGACCTGGCTTTGTAAAATGACAGCGGCTGCCATTTTTAAAAGTTGTGTATTTCACGGGAGAAAATAATTGTGTTTGATTCATAGGGACACCATTTAGATTTGTTAGTCATACACCTGTTTAAAAGAAAGAAAACTTATTTCAGTATTGTAACAGACAAAAATAAGTGTTGACAGATGTGAAAACATTCAAAAAGCGGCCAGGAAAATGGAAAACTTGGAATTGTTCAAAGGCTGCCTTACGAACGCTAGGTTGTTTACTTATTATTCGGGCTGGTGCCTGTCATTGCTTTTCAAGTTTTCATAAAGCATACGGCAGTTATTGCTCGTAGGATACTTAAATATGTGATATATATCAAGAGCAGTTTTGCATGTGGAAGGAAGGAATTTTTCAGACTGTAAAAATGAAACAAAAAATTTAGAGACGATATTTGGTAATTGGAATTTGAATGAATAGAAGTAATTTTTCTTCTTTTTATTCCTTTTGACATTTAAGTTATTTATCAATTTCAGCTTTGCTTTTCTTTAAATAACGTGACATTGTCAGAATTGTCGAAAAATTTAAAATGAGGTACCTAGGGGGAAAATTTTAAAAAGTGTTGCATTGAAAATTGTAAAAATTTATATTTTGATAATTTTCACTGTGAAATTATCAAATATAATTTTAACAGATACATCAGTAATCCACTGAAAAACAAAATAAATTGTCTTAATTTCACATTCTAGTAGATACCAGTATTACATTCACCCAATGCGTTAAATGTATGCATTACATCAGTTAGTATATGTCAGATTCTCGGACAAAGTGTCTAATTTAGCCATCAACTAACTCGCCTTATAGAACACAAATTTAATCATAGTAATACAGATATATTTAGGATCAACCGACAGTGCATTATTATACTATGATATCTATTTTCATCTTATCATGCTTATGATAAGAGAACTGATAAAAATATGTTGAACTAGATCTACATAAATAATATTGAGCGTAGAAGTAATTTTATGACGTGTAAGCAATATCCATTCCTTTTCATCCTTTGATAATGCACAGTTTGATAGGGGAATAGTGTGTAGCGTGTAAGAATACTATAAAAGGACAATACTAAATTGCCAGTTAACTCTTAACCTGCTGGAACTGCTGCAGTCTGACTAAGAACTTATACTGTCGGTAGCTTAGCCTTAGATACTCAAATCATTAACATTTTGAATGAACTGTTCAACAGCTTTGTTAATCCATAGCACATAATCAGAGTTAAAAGAAGAGACAAATGATGTATATACTAGTACCAAGAATGATACCATCCCGGAGAACGTTATTACTAAACCTATTGTGACTAGCAAGCGCAATGTGGGAGCCGAAAGCCACGCCAATGGAGTACATGGCCTGTGTTGCTGCGCTGGACCAGATAGCCATGTTGGACAACTTCCGGTAGTCTGGTTCCGTGTAATATTTTATGCCGATTTCATGACCTTCTAATGTCATACCTCGAACCAGTAAAATGAGCAATACCAAGAATGGGAACGAGGCTGTGAAATAGGCGACCTAAAACATAAGGAAAACATATTATGAGCAATAATTATACACCAATTATATAAGGACAATACCCCCCAAATACACCAACGACATGTATCCCAGACCCCTACATACACCAATGACTTGTATCCAAGACCCCAATATATACACCAGTGACTTGTATCCCAAACTCCCATAATCACAAGTGCATTGTTTCCCGACCCCCATATACACCAGTAACTTGTATCCCAGTCCCCACATATACCAGTGACTTGTATCTCATACCCCACATACACCTGTGACTTGTATCCCAGACCCCTGTATACACCAGTGACTTGTATCCCCGATCCACACTTACACCAGTGACTTGTATCCTATACCCCACATACACCAGTGACTTGTATCCCATACCCCACATACACCAGTGACTTGTATCCCAGACCCATGTATACACCAGTGACTTGTATCCCCGTCCCACTATAAACCAGTGATTTGTATCCCCGACCCCCATAAAACCCAGTGATCTGTATCCCAGACCCGCATATATACCAGTGACATGTATCCAAGACCCCCACATACACCAGTGACTCTTAACTCCGACCAATCATACACTAGTTATTTGTATACCAGACCCCCATTTACATCAGTGACTTGTATCCCAGACCCACATAAACACCGGTGATTAGTATCCCAGACCCCCATATATACCAGTGACTTGTATCCTAGACCCCACATACACCAGTGACCTGTATCCCAGACCGCAATATACACCAGTGACTTGTATACCAGACCCCCATATACACCAGTGATTTGTATCCCAGACCCCCACATAACACACTAGTGACTTGTATCCCCGATCCCCATATACACCATGAGTTGTATCCCCGACCCACACATACACCAGTGACTTGTATCCCAGACCCCAATATACACCAGTAAGTTGTTGTATCCCAGACCCCCCATAGTGCACCAGTACTTTGTATCCCAGACCCCACATACACCAGTGACTTGTATCCCAGACCCCACATACACCAGTGACTTTGTATCCCAGACCCCCACATACACCAGTAACTTGTATCCCAGACCCCACATACACCAGTGACTTGTATCCCAGACCCCATATACACCAGTGACTTGTATCCCAGACCCCATATACACCAGTAATTTGTATCCCCAACCCCCATAATACCCCACACATACACCAGTGACTTGTATCCCATTACCCCACATACACCAGTGACTTGTATCCCAGACCCATGTATACACCAGTGACTTGTATCCCCAACCCCAATACATACCAGTGACTTGTATCCCAGACCCCCATATACACCAGTGACTTGTATCCCCAACCCCCATATTCAGAGATGGAGATGTCCTTGGTATTGTTGTTATACTCTTCCAAAAAGTGCAAGATTGTGTAACTAGCACAGGCTATATGCATTCTTCCTTGTCTGTTAGAGTTACGTATCTATGTAATAGTTTATTAGTAAGGATGATTTAGTGTAGTAAAATGCTTACTTATGAACAATAACCAAGTTTGAAATTATTTTTTATAAAACTGTAAATATTACTAGACTGATAAAATTTGGCCTATTTACGAATGTAAATGTTTTATTATTCATTTGAAATGCCGCAATTCTATTGGATAAAAATAATTTCAAATACGAATATCGTTAAATAAATCCAGATACAAAATATTTAGCATATGGTTATTCTATTATGATATAACATTGCTACAGTTTCTTATAACAGACACGTTCTTTCAATATTTAGACTTGATTGCCCTCACCACTGTGGGCCCAACAGAGCCTTCCTTGTGAGGAAGCTATCCAGCTAGCTTACGGAACGTCAGTGTTTCTACGAAGGTGCCCGTTCGTGCCTAAAACCCCTTTCACACTAGGGCGGCGTTCTCACGGCCGAGGTGAGCGCAGTAAGATCGCAAACATCGCCACAGCATCATAGTGGCATCACATAGAACACCGACCGACGGTCATTCGGCGATCCTTCTGCGATTTCACGGCGCTGCTGTTCCGTTGTAGGAGATGCTACGGTATCCTTACTGCGATCCCACTGCGCTCTTATCAGAACGCCGAGTGACGGCGTTTGTTTTGAGCATGCTCAAAATGCACGCCGTCGGCCGGCGTTCTATGCACTGCCACTGCGATGCTTGAGCGATGTTTGCGATCTAACTGCGCTCACCTCGGCGTTCTGAATTTTCTTTGGACGCCGTGTCATGCCGCCCTAGTTTAACAGGGGATTTAACCACGGCGCTTGTACGGAGATTGTGCACGTCTCTACCGCGCTTATAATGCCTCTGCTTTTCAATTTTAGCGCAGTGTGAGCACCGTAAAAGCGCAGTGGAAGCGCCAAGAACACAGTAGAAGCGCATTTCGAACGAAAAAAAGCGCCAATTTAAACGCCGTGGAAGCTCTATAGCATCGCCATGATCGTTGGTAAGATGCCATCAAAAATATCACATTTTTTATTGCGATCTCGCGGCCCTATAAATGCACGGAAGGACACCCGAAGTATTCTTCCACTAGACTGGTCCCCTGCGCACTTCTAAAAAACTATGGGCATCCATCTTGGATGGGAACCATAATAGGAGAGGGAACCTGAGCTTGTCGTCACATGACCTATAATGTGTCGGTGTGGCGTAAAAACTAAGCAAACAAACAAAAGGCATGAATACAAATGTTTAGTTCAATCTAGCACTGGATTCAACAGTAATTCAGTGATATACTTAACTGTCCCTTAAAGTTAGTCTCTTTTTTCAAGACCAAATCTGCATCAGGCAACGTTACCCAATTAACTCTTTATTAACAGCAAAATGGGGCCAATGACATAGAACATTATTTGGAAGAAGAAAAACATTCTCTAAGACTTATTGCCTTGACTTATCATTAAATATGTGGTCCGCAGTTCCCGGGGCTTTTTCATAATTTAGATATGTCGTCCGTAGATTTCGGGCTTTACCAACTCAATAAAAAGCGCACTTCTGCGTTCATTAGATACCAGACTTACTCAATAAATCTGCAGCCCGTACATCTCGGGTCTTAACTTCTCAAATCTGCAGCCCGTACATCTCGGGTCTTAACTTCTCAAATCTGCAGCCTGTACATCTCGGGTCTTAACTTCTCAAATCTGCAGCCCGTACATCTCGGGTCTTAACTTCTCAAATCTGCAGCCCGTACATCTCGGGTCTTAACTTCTCAAATCTGCAGCCCGTACATCTCGGGACTTAACTTCTCAAATCTGCAGCCCGTACATCTCGGGTCTTAACTTCTCAAATCTGCAGCCCGTACATCTCGGGACTTAACTTCTCAAAAATTCGGCATAATTTGCCACTTCATTTGCATTTACTTGCTCATTGCAGCGCGTACTGGTGACGCAATTTATTTTTAATTTTATGTTAAGTGAGTGATAATATCGGATAAAAATATGTAAAAGCCTATGATATTTTATTATTGTTAGAAAAAGTAAAAGCTGGTATTTAAAATTTCATTTATAGTAACGGCTTTGAATTGACGATATCAATACCCTATATTTGTATGACAAGAAAAATAAGATTAAACTTTTATTTGTTAAGTTGTTTTATTTTTCAACAAAAGAATATTATAATGTAAAAAAGAACATTAGTCGGCGCTAGTCATGGATACACTTGAAGAGAGACCAGAAACACGATTGAGAATGAGATAATGCAATTAAGGAAATGATACACTTCTTTATTTATATCAAAACGAAACACAATCTTACAAATATTAGAACTGAAAGACACTTTTAAAGAAACTTTATAAATACAAACATAGAATGATGTTAGACAAATATACATGTACAAATGTCTATTAAATTTCACAACAGCTACAACAACAACAACACATAGCAATATCATTTAAAGTCTACGTTACTATATTGTATTATTTTCCCATCCTCCCCATCCCCATTTCCTGTCTGTAAGAATGATTGTTACATCTCTGTAAACGTAAAATAATCTGGATTTACATTTACTTCCGGGTTAATGGTGACATCCCTACTGCCACCTGGATCACACGTTAAATAACCACCATTAATGTTTACGTCAGCAAGCTGGTCCTGGCAGAGTAAACAGGTTGGTGGTGCAAAGCTTGACTCACATCTATCTGAATCCATTCTGTGCCGCTGACCTATCGGATGTATATACTTCATTCACATAACGGCCACTTCTGTTGACCTTTAAGTCTTGGGCCCCAATCTTTCTCCTCAAACGTTGCTTCTTTTATCTGGAAATAATCAATTTAAATGTAACATAGCAGAAATGTTCATCTATCAATAAGTTAGACAATACTAAACATATGGACAAATTATCAACGATATTCACCTTTTTTTCATACGCGACATACATGTATAAGATACTGAAAATATCTCAGTATATTTTATTATAACGACTTTCCTGGATTAAAAAATGTCATTTTAAACTTAAAGGGACTCCACAGTAGTTTTTTTTCCTGAAATGACGGGACTTGGAATATTTTTTTCGAGATCAATGTTCCCTCTGATTTAGGTCTAGACCAATCACTTGTGTGCTAAATTTGAGAACATCCACTTACTCCGTTTAACCAGAACAATCGCGTTAATTGTGAAAAATGACCCAATATATGAAAAACAAAACAACCCTACTTACTCAAATCGGGCTAACAACATCATAACATACGTTTTTAAGTTAATTTCTGATTATATTTCTTAATTATCTTCTGATCTATGTAAAAAATTCAAATTTTATGTTTTTTAGTCTTTTGCGCCTCAGTGAAGTTCTTTTTACATGAAATAATACAAACCCCGCCATATTTCCGTATTTGGTACCCAGCGACGCCTAGCATAATCACTAAGGGCGTGAGTATCAATATCCATCCAAATGCCTCTCCCCCTGGCGTTGTTGTTATACCATTATAACTAACGGAAGTGTATCCTACCGCAGATGCGATAAAAATAAACTAAAAGAAGAAAGAATAAAAATGTGAAATAGTCATATTTTTACATATATGATTTTTAAT